AGTCTGTTCCCTGCAGTTTCCCTGTCAGTTTTCATCTCTCAGCTGTTGACTCTTAGTAATTACTTCTCCTCAGCTGTTGTTCATTTTCTCTCTTCTTTGTCTGTATAAATACTGTTCACATCTCCTCATTAGTCACTAGTTCATTGTTTGTTATGTCCAACTTTTGGTTTTCCTTGTTGGTTTCCTTGTGTCTTCAGAGTTTTTGTAAGTTTGCTGCAACGTCAGCCTTTTGTTTTATATTTGTTAATAAACATCTTTATTTTGCAAACTTTTCTCCTTCGTCCGGACCTGGATTCATTCCTGCGCCTTAACCTGACAATATATTGGGCCTCATGTAAGAACATTTTTGTATTTTTTATCATAAATTTCTCTTACTTTTGTTCGTATGAAGGGTTCAAACGAACACGCCACGTCAGATTCAACCAACTCTTCTATCTTCAGGAAAAGTGTGTAAATGAGCTGCGTAAACTGATGAATGTGTATCAGGTGCTCGTGCACGGGGAGAGATTAGCACAATTACTACCCTAATAATAACATATAAGACAACCCTTCCTGTCCCACATACCAGGAAGTGTCCATTCAAAAATGACAACACAAAGTAAAAAAGAAGAACTTTACGAGTTTGGAGATTGAAGTCCTGCTGTCAGAGATCCAGAAAAGAAAATCTGTCATTTTTAGCAGCATCAGCTGTGGAATTAAAGGAGCTGCTAAAGGYCAAGGAATGAAATGATGACTGCTGTTAATGCTGTGTCTCCTGTGGGCTGCTACAGTTAGTGACTGTATGATCCACGGGAGACATAATTATCAATAAAGTAAATAAAATAACCATCTTATAACCAGCACTCCAACTGTTCTGCTGGTAGAAATAAGTTATCCACTTTCCCTTGTCCTGCTTTACGCTGCAGGCACTATTTCCTGCTGACAGTCTATTCTATTTATGTCCCCTGCTAGRCGAAACGGTGGTCATTTTGTTATTGTTTTTGTATAGTTCTCTGTTTTTTAGATATTTTTGGTCAACTGTAGCACAGGAACAGCTGCACTGAGAAACACATTGATAGGAATATAGGCCTATGCTATCCAGTTTTCTTTGTTAAAACAATAATAAATGTTATTGTAAAATATTWTCTGTCAGATCAGATGTGTTATACTTTATTC